CTCCTGCCTGCAGACTCTTCAATCTAGTCGACCTTGGCCTATATGCAGCCTGCAGAGCTCATAAGGATGACTAAGCATTTAGCAGCCTGAGCTAGACATCCCGGCTACACTAAACATCTTCTAGACAACAAATCTCTAGCAAATATCTATCTGACTAGAAATGACCTAACAAGATCCATCGGGACACAATCTGTTTGAACTCCTCCCCTTTGGATGGCGTTACAGATCACTGTGCGCCAAGACAACCAGGCACAAGCACAGTTTCTTCCCCTGAGCCATCACTCTGATTAACACAACCCAGGACAGTATGACTGGACAATAACCCTCAGTGCAATACCTGTAAATATACCTTGTACAGATTATACAGGTCCGTGCCAGAGTCAAATTCCTCGGGTCCAACCCACCTGGCCAATAAAGCTGATTCTTCAGTAGTATTAACACACTCTCTCTTGACTCAGAAACTAGACAAGTAAATGAAGCATCAACTGCTCTGCTGGAGCTGCACATGGCTTCTCAGCAACTGTAATTACAGTGGGCAGCTCCCAGGTGTGAATGTAAAGCAGGATGAGAAAAGAGCATTGTGCTCAGTTGGCATTCCCTGGACAAAGAAAAACTAAAAACTAAAGAGAGAGAACAGAAAAGATAGCAAACACTTCAACAACAGGATGTCGATGAATAAAACAGACACTTGCAGCCTGGATAAAATATGAGACAATAAAGAAAAAAGACTGCAGCCTGGGTGCCATAACTCTTTAGATACAGCATCCAAAGCCTATGGGCTTCAGCTGCATGGCCCACCACATTTTGTCTTTAGTGTAGGGAGGCTGTCAAGCTGATTTCAAGCTTCAAGCTGTTGCTCACCAGGACCCAAACTGCTTGAACTGCTAAAAGCCATAGCTACGAATGCCTTAAAAGTCTAATTACAGTGTGGAAAAGAATTCTTTGATCCCCTGATGATTTTGTAAGTTTGCCCACTTACAAAGAAATGAAGGGTCCATAATTTTTATGGTAGGTTTATTCTAAAGGGTAGAAACAGAATATCAACAAAGAATCCCCAAAAAACACGATAAAAATGTTATAAATTGCATTTCAGTGAGTAAAATAAGTATTTGATCCCCTACCAACCAACAATAATTCTGGCTCCCACAGACTGGGTGTGTCCTCATGTGGTGCCCAAATTAGTCCTGTCAATTTAAGAAGATGCTTCTAACGACATTTCGTTATGTGTATAAAATATACGTGTCCACAGAGTTTCTCTATCTTCCATTCAAACCTCACCACCATGGGCAAGACCAAAGAGCTGTACAAAATTGTAGACCTACACAAGGCTGGAATGAGCTACAAGACCATCAGAAAGAAGCTTGGTGAGAAGGAGACAACTGTTGGAGTAGCTATTCACAAATGGAAGAAATACATAACCATCAGTGGCCCTCGGTCTGGAGCTCCATGCAACATTTCACCTCATGGGGTAAGGATGATCATGAGAAAAGTGAGGGATCAGCCCAGAACAACACGGGAGGAGCTTGTGAATGATCTCACGGCAGTGGGGACCACAGACACCAAACAAACTGTAAGATTTGAGTCTTATAGACTCTGGTTACTTTATAAGCTTCAGTTACTTCTCATACCTTTAGTTCCCTTTAGTTACTTTTCATAACTTTATTTTCCTTGTCTATACATATTACAGCTGTATTGATGATTGTCCAGAACTACTGAGCTTTGGTTATTTTAATGTATTTGTTTCCCTTGCTTATATATCTTACAGCTATAATGAAGCAGCATCTGCTTACTTTGAATGCTGTAACTGTGTAGAGACAGGATGTCTACATATCTTTGTGACCAGACAGCCTATTTACATTTTAGCAAAGCCCTGTTTCAATAAGAATAGGATCAAAAGCTGTTGAATGTTGTACCTCTGTCCAGGGTGGAGCAGCCCAAGAAGATAAAATGCATTGTAAAACATGATTCAGGGTTGAGAGGATGGAACTCCTGCAGGAGCTCTTTCTCTCTAATCCCAGCGCTGTAATGACTTTCCTGTGCTCAGACTTTCAGTAAACTTTCTGTTGATTTTAAACAGTCCTCTCCTGTCTTCACTTCTCATGCTTCCGACAAATGAATTGGGTTATTTTCTAACAAAACCATTGGTAAAACAGTACGCCACCATGGAAATCCTGCAGCACCCACAAGGTCCCACTCCTCAAGAAGGCACATCTACAGGGCTGTCTGAAGTTTGCCAATGAACATCTAAATGATTCAGAGAAGGATTGGGAGAACGTGCTGTGGTCAGAAGAGACCAAAATTGAGCTCTGGCATCAACTTGACTCGCTGTGTTTGGAGGAAGAAAAATGCTGAGTATGACCCTAAGAACACCATCCTTACAGTCAAACACAGAGGTGGGAACATTATGCTTTGGGGCTGTTTCTCTGCTAAAGGTACGGGTCGACTTTGCCGCATTGAGGGGCCAATGGATGGGGCCATGTATTGTAAAATCTTGGATGAGAACCTCCTTCTCTCAGCCAGGACAGTGAAGATGGGTTGAGGATGGCTCTTCTAGCATGACAATGACCCAACTCAGTTTATAACATTTGTATCATGTGCCTTTTTGAGATTTTCTGTCTCTATCCTTTAGAATAAACCTATGATAAAAATTACCCTTCATTTCTTTGTAAGTGGGCAAACCTACAAAATCACCAGGGGATCGAATAATTATTTTCCACACTTTAAATCCAAAAATAATATGCATCTAGTGTCACAAAGCTGAAACAAATGTTACAAGACATTCAGTGTGCACAATGTGGAGCCTTGGCCACTAAAAATAAAATCCTTGAACCTTGTTAGCTGCTCAAACTGACTTGTTTGGCGCGATGATGGTTAGCACAACAGAAGTGTGTTTTAATTCAGGTGAGAATACAAGACAACTGTTTCCCACTGTATAAAATAAAGGCAAATAACAAGAACAGGCACTCATCATTTGGTTTAACTCAGAGCTACAGTACACCTATGATCTAAGATCTTCCAGGGGTGTGGGTGAGTCAGTGGGTGGAGGGGGAAGCAGCATGAATATAGCTGATACGCTCTCAGATAATACTGCTAAAAGGGCAATATATGCTTAGAAAATAATTGTCATAAGAAGTTAGCAATGAGGAAAATTACACCTAATCATTGAGGCAGAGAAAAAAAACTCACTAGTTGAGTCTGTCAGTTTGACAGACTGGCTCAGCACCATTGCAGGGTAGTTGCACCAATCCCCACCCAATGCCTGAATCTATCACCTGGAATAACACGATCAATTCAGTGATGGGAATACATTACCTCCTCTGTTTTTAATCCTGCAATTAGAAAACTGAATCCTGCCATCATCTTCTCTGTGCCTCCCATTACTGTGTATCCTGCTAATTTTCCTGTCTACCCCAAAGATAAAACAGTGTGGGACTGGTCTACATCAAAATATTGAATTCAATCAAACAGCTGTGGCAGTGGGTGGTCGATGGATCCTGTGTTTGTTGTAAAGGCTGGTTCACAGTCGCAATCTCCCACATTCTTTCTTGCAGTACTTTCACAGCAGCTGCCTTGTCTGACGACTGTAGGTGAGACACATCGTTAAAAAAAACATGGCCTGAACACTCATTGTTTGTATACTGCCATCCTGCCTGTTTTCTATCTATTACAAAATGCTGAAATATTTTGGAAAGATAGAGGGATGACAAAATGTACATGTACGTACATCATAAACCCCTTATGAGTGGATTTTTTAAAGTATTGGATTTATGGACATATTTATCACTACTGCTAACAACACCAATGCAGATTGAACAGACTCAAAGCTGAGCTGCACATTAGGGAGGTTTAAATACAGGAAACAGTACAAATGGAGGCATTTTATATGTGTTTTTGCCTCAGCAATTTTGTGTGTGGTAGTGAATCTGAAAGTGAAGGATTAGTATAAGTAAGAGTAAAGAGTAAACAGTGTAGCCTAGTACTTATCTGTTTATTGAGTTGAACCCCTTACTGTTTGTGTGTCTGCATGTGTGTGCACCAGGCTGACATTATTTTAAACAACCTAAAGTCATACTCTTCATCACTGTTAGTAGTCCTGGTGAAATTATGGTCACTTAACATAAAATATTTTCGGAAAGCACATTGGTAGTGGAGGCTATTCACCTTCGGATGATTATGGACTGTTTACCATCACATCACCGGTGTGCAAGCATGAGTGTGAGACTGAGCGAATAAGTTTGTGTGTGAGGGAGAAAGTTCATGTGCATGTCCACCTGTGGCTCTGCTCCCATAATATAAAAAGGTGACATTTAGCCTTGTCCTGACCCCTCACTGTTTCAGCTGTCCCCTGCAATGGCTTCAAAAGGACTCCCATGTCCCTTGTCACATAGTGAGAGGGCCACATCATGAAACCTCACAAATAACACACACACAGCATACTGTAGCAGCATTGTGCCCAAAACAACCTCTCTCTCGACAAAATAACAGTGATGATAAAAAAAAACCCAGTCCCGGCACCACAACTCCAGGCTAAGAGATAAAAACCAAATCACAGTGAGGCACCTGAACAACTGACATCAGTAATTAAATCAAGCGCTCTTAATGCAGTTCCCCAGGGGTATTGTGCAACAGCCTTTTACAGATGCTGTGACAGTGACTTTGCTCCTATGTGACTTTCCACTGGATAATTTGAAAGTGCTGCACTGATACAGCTGGATGTTGTGACACATTTCCCCTGCTCTAATGTCTTCTCAGATGAAGGGCATGGGAGATGTCCCTGCTGGATTGTGCATCCATTTAAATGGTGTTGTGTGAATGAGAGGTAGCTACTGTATATTAAAAGGTTTGAGCTAAGAATAATGAGAGCTCATACTTCACTGAAATAGTTTAATTTCATTATTTTTGGTCTATTTTTGACTGTAATCATGCTTTCTACATAGTCATAAGATGCTGAATACAATATCTTTGCAGAGTTTGCACAGTGTGGCGTGCACTGAATTCATACATCTAATTCAGTACGTTTTCAGGAGCTACACATGCAGTAACAAACTGTTTAGTTTGAAATACCCATACTGTATATTCAGTGGAATCAGTAAACTACACAGCATGCTTCTTATCAGGCTAGTCCCTCATATTTATACCAAGTGACACCAAGGGGAAATAAAGAGATCCTGAGTCCTGCTTCTTCTGGACTGTGCTTATTCACTGCTGCTTAGAGAAACAGTTTGGGATCTGCTCCTGCATTTTGATCTGTCGCATCATGGGGCTAAAGAAATGTCTCTACCTAGAATTTCACTAACATTTGGAGATAGTTTTGGTTTAGGTGAGACTGTTAGGAAAACAGCAGTAATGGGTTTTTGTTCAAGTGGCTTAAGACAACTCACAGTGTGATGATGTCCAGTTATGTACAGTATGTTTGACTGTTGTGAGAGACTGGAGGCTGTTTTCTATCTCACAAGAGTGGTCACCAATATGAGGTGATCTTCTCATAACCTTTACCAAGAAGCATTAGTTGCCTCAACATTAATATACTGTATTGCATAAAGACAAGTAACAGCAGTGTTCCAGGGTGTCTCAGTACCCTATGGCATCACTATTGCAGAGTTAAACATTAGCTAGCAGGCTTTCACTGCCATCTTGAGTCTACAGATGGATGACCTATCACCACTTCCCTCCATTATGCAAACGTGAAGCCAAAATATTGTAAATACAGCGGCTGCCATCTTGGTATTTTGCAACAGGTTTCTGAGAAGTAGCGGCTGAGTAGTTGAGTGATGTATCAGATGCAAAGTTGTCAATTCGTATAACTTATTAAAAACAACCTTACCAGAAAAATGTCAACTTTTACACACATCAGCTTGATAATATCAACCAAAAATAACAGAAATCACCTCCGGGAAAAATTATTTGATTTGTACTTTGAGTTTTTGGTTTAGCTCATGTCCAATCCACCAACATAGAGGTGGCGGGATTTATGATCTATACTGCAACCAGCCTCCAGGGGGCAAATGAGTCATGATGGCTTCACTTCTGGGACCTGTCATGTTGTCCTTCTTTTATACACTTGATGTGTTGGAAGGAAGTGAAAGCCTGCTATTAAGTTATATATACATATTTATGTTGTGTTGATATACAGTTTCTCTGCAATATATTGTTACATATATTGCAGAGAGCTATTTGAAAAGTGATTTGGTTCTGACATGTAGTGATAATATTATGTTGAAATATGACTGTCATGCTCCTGCCTTGGCCGTCATGGCCACAGTGGCATGTTAACTTGAACTTTCTTCACATATTTGTTTTCAAAACATTTTTTCTTTCTCATCTCTCAAGATGGGGTGAGATGGGCCTTTACATAGTCTCTTTGGACCTAATCTGGACTCAGATTCAACTTGACCAAGGTGGTCTTGCCTGCTGTCTTACATGAGTCAGTGATCTCTGTTAGAATTAAATATGCACCAATCAATCAGTGAAGACTGGAAATGGCTGGTTTTCAGTGTGGTCGGCCTTGACCAGTGACTGGCCAATCACTCTGAGATTTCTATTTTGTTCCTCTCAGATTTAAAGGCCCGACAGTGCATGTCATGCATGCAGTGTACAGAGGAGCCTACAGTAACATCCTGGAGAAGGGCAAACTACATCCAAAACTTCTAAAATAGTACACAATGAAGGAATTACTGGTTACACATGAAGTGCATGTATATGTACAGTGTACCCAACCCATGGTTAAAGACAGCAAATACAAACTACACGCTCTTTGAAAAGAAGTGTGCTCAGTAGGACTGATGTAACAGACAATCTTCTGTTTCTATTACCTGTTGCACCTGTTCATATTTGGAGAAGTACAAATACTACAAATATTTTTAGTTGGAGGTTTGTAAAGATGGAAAATGTAAAACTTTATTTTTATTACAATAAAATTTTTGGTAAAGGTTACAAAAATGTCTGTGTATACTGTCAAGTACAGCTCATAGAAAGAACGAGATCGGAATGAGCCCAGAAAGTTGCAATCAGTGCATCTATAGTTAGAATCATACCTGTAGATGTCTCGAGCCATCCCAAAATCTCCGATCTTAGCAATGCGGCCCGGTTCTTTGCAGGTTAGTAGGCAATTTCGAGCTGCAATGTCCCTGAGAGAATAGGAAAAACACATCAAGAATGTCATGCACTTACTGCTTGGACTGAACTGCTTCCACTTAGTGTACAGTCTCAGGATGACGGACACGGACATGGACACGCACACGAGCACACACACACACACACACACACACACACACACAAGCGCGCACCCACTCACAGGAGAGGGAAGGTAGTCAGAACTGAGGGGATTGTACTACCAGAAGGCAACATAGCAGATGTTGAGGACAGCTACAAGTACCTTGGGATCCCGCAGGTAAATGGGAACCATGAAGAGGCCACAAGGAAAGCAGGAACTACCAAGTACCTGCAGAGAGTAAGGCAAGTCCTGAGAGGTCAGCTGAATGGAAAGAAGAAAGTCTGGGCGATTAACAACCACACCCTGCCGGTCATCAGGTACCCCGCTGGCATAATAAGCCGACCAAAGGAGGAGATAGAGGCCACTGACATCAAGACAAGGAAGCTCCTTACAATGCACAGTGGGTTTCACCCCAAGTCCAGCATCCAGAGACTCAATACTAAGGGGAAGGAAGGAGGCCGAGGATTGGTGAGTGTTAGAGCATCTATCCAGGATGAAACAACAAAGATCCATGAATACATCAGGAAGATGGCCCCAAGTTATGATGTGCTTAGTGAATACCTCAGGCAGCAGAAACCAGAGGAACAAGGGAAGAAAGAGCAGTAAGGGTCAATAAAAATGACCACCGTCAAATAGAAGAAGTGGCTGACATCGAAAAATCCTACCAGTGGCTGGACAAAGCTGGTCTGAAAGACAGCACAGAGGCACTGATCCTGGCAGCACAGGAACAAGCTCTAAGTACAAGATCAATAGAAGCTGGGTCTACCATACCAGACAGGACCCCAGGTGTAGGCTGTGCAAAGATGAGACAATCAGCACATAACAGCGGGGTGCAAGATGCTAGCAGGCAGGGCATACATGGAACGCCATAACCAAGTGGCTTGCATAGTGTACAGAAACATCTGTGTTGAGTACAGGCTAGAAGAACCAAAGTCAAAATGGGATACACCTCCAAAGATGGTTGAGAATGACCAAGCTAAGATCCTGTGGGACTTCCAGATACAAACTGACAAACTGGTAATGACCAACCAACCAGACATAGTAGTGGTGGACAAACAGAAGAAGAAGGCTGTAGCGATAGATGTAGCAATCCCAAGCGATAGCAACATCAGGAAGAAGGAACACGAGAAGCTTGAGAAATACCAAGGGTTGAAAGAAGAGCTAGAAAAGATGTGGAAGGTGAAGGCACAAGTGGTCCCCATGGTGATAGGAACATTGGGGGCTGTGACCCCCAAACTGGGAGAGTGGCTCCAACAGATCCCAGGAACAACATCTGAGATCTCTGTCCAGAAGAGTGTAGTGCTAGGAACAGCTAAGATACTGCGCAGGACCCTCAAGCTCCCAGGCCTCTGGTAGAGGACCCAAGCTTGAAGGAAGGAATAAGACCGCTCCAAAGTGGGGGGCGAGTGGGGAATTTTTTTTTTTTATGTACACACACACACACACACACATATATATATATTTTATATATATACTGTATGAGTTAGCTATACTAAACACTGACAAGTCACAGCTTGGCCCATGACTCCTCTCTTCACTGCTTTACCAAAGTTTGTCATATATTTGCATTCTATAAGAGGCTCCATGCGTGAAACTCCTACAGATGCTGCCTATTCAGTAGATCTACCAATTGCCCTGGGCAAGCTGGCAAAGTGTATAGTTTCCTACAGTGTCTTTATGACTCAGCCCACATGGTACATCCAGAGAAAAGATTGAAATGTTCCACAGTGTGCACAGGGAGTGGGTAGGAAGTGAAAATTCATAAAATTCATATTTGCACTGTGCTGGGTTAGTTATTGTTTGAGAAAATACTGTAGTTCACACAGGATGCTCTGCTCCAGTGTGGGTAAAAGGAAACTCACTGTATTCTGTTTCCAAGGCATTGAACTTTAATATTTTAAGTGACATCATGAGCACACTGTTTCTTATCAGACTAAAGACAAGTGAGAACTGGAGCTAATAAATACTCAGAATTTAACATCAAAATAACATCATGTGACACTCTGCTCAAACTAGATCATGAGACAGGGCAATGAAAAACTAGCAGTGATACAAACCACTGAACTAAGCTACACTGTGTTGATATTTGGCCTCCACACTGATTAACATGGATGAGGAATGACACAATGAGGACAAAGTGATAGTCGCAACTAATTTTAACTGAGGGCTCTTTAACAGGGAATACATGATTGCCCCACTTCAATGTGCCACAAGTGATTAGCACTAATCAACTATATTACAGTACTATTTCAAGTCTGATATTAAATAATTTTGTATGAAATAAAAACAATGTGTCTAGGGCATCCATCTGTTTTTTACTGTGCTCGAGTCCAATTTAGAATGAAGCAGTTAAATGACTGTCAGTAAACTGAGTTATCAAACCAGCTCCAGAGAATTTTCTAAATTGCAGTATCACCCCACAGAACGACCAATTCAAAAAGAAGGTGGGAAACGGTCTATTTAGAGTCATTCTGCTTTTTCAGTAAGACTGAACAATGTCTATCGTAGCATGACTAGTGCACACACACTTTCACAGAATCCTTTCTCATGAGGTGCTGTAGCTAAATCCAACTAGTCCTTGTTTAATGGCTTGGAAGAATTCATGCAAATGATTTGCATTTGCTCGTAGGCAAGGATGAGCTCTGAGATGCAGCAGTGGCTGTCACAGACTGCTCACTAAGGGCTTCAGGGAAGGACACAGTGCTATTGTACATGCAGCGCAGGGATGTGAAGGCAGGCTGTTATTAAAATGATGTTAACTGGCCTCATACTGTAGACCTTATTTACAGCCAGCTTAAACTGCCTAAAGAGCCATCTGACTGCAGCACTTACAGGACGGTCCGTGTTGTTATTCTACTGTAACACCTGCGGTTGTATTCAGCTAGCAGGCTCTCCTCAGCACAGTGCTGCTTCTCAGGGGATTACAATTTCCAGTCTGTTGTAAATAAAATAAACACTAATATAACACATTATACTGACCATCCCAAAAAAGAAATACAACAGAAACACACAAAAGCCATTTTTATGATGGCACCAACCTTGTGATTTAAGCTGCTGGAGCACACAACCGCTCACCTTCCAACCCAGTCATTCATGAGAAAAATCTGCATTTTGCAGCTACAGTGCTTCACCTGCCCTTTACTCAACCCTGAATAAACACAGCTCCATAAAACGTAAAATAAGCCTCAAGGACATTGTTAGGGTGAATTTTAATATAGGTCTGAAGACAGAACAGCAGGCTGGACTGTATAGGAGCTCATGAGCCTCCAGAGAAGAGTCATTCATTAATTAGGTAGACTGATGGGACTTTACTGTGCCACGCTGGGGCAAGCAAGGTTTAATAGGCTTGGCTAACACTGACCAGTTCCTATGAAGTTAAAGACAGGCATGAAGGAAGGAAGGATGTGCCTTAATTGTCTTGATGTGACTGACCATGTAGGAGCAGTTTTGAGCTTTTATCACGTTGACTTGTACTTGATATGGACAGCTTCAAGAAAAGGCTTTTAAAATTCACATCTTCTTGTTCAACTGCCATGAATATGGATATAGAGGGGGCACTGCTGACGTCTGTCTTGGACACAGACTGTGAAAAGGCAAGCCGGTCACTCATCTGGCTGCTCTGATGCTAAACTCATCACTTGTCCTTTCTGCTATCATACAGAAGGTAAAAGGCATGCAGAATCCATATGTTATGGTTGGATGGGCACAGCCAGCTCACAATTCTGAGTATAACTCAGCAGATGAATGTTTCTTTTGCATATGTCAGGTTGCATATTTGACAGCGACCCCCCCTTAATCTTGTGCTTTAGGTGTTTATGCATACACATGTGGTTTTTGCATACAGTATGCATATTCAAAATGTGCACTCCTCTGGTGAAGTACCTGTGAATAAACTGGTTCTCCTCCAGATACTGGCAGCCCTTGGCAATGTCTCTGGCTACATTGAGAAGGTCCACGATGGTCAGGCTAGACGGATGCTCCTGATCCAAGAGATAAGAGAGAAGATCAAAAGCTTTAGGAAACATGATGTGGCATTCACTGGTTTCTGTTTCCCAAGTTTATTCTTGTGTAGGAATGAACTCCACACCTGCTGTACAAGTCCTGAACAGACAGAATAAACTGCCTTTCTTCACAGGGGAAACACACTCATTTGAATTAAGCACAATAGGGGTTTCATCTCAATAAATGTGGCCTTTGAATGTGATACTAAAATGTATTTCATTGAAAATATACAGTATATAACAACTTAATGCTCATTATATTGTGTTCACCATATCATCATCTTGTCTTGCCATTTTATTGAGAGGTATTTTAGATTTTAGTATTTTTATTGGTATATTTCATCACGGCATCTTATACATTTCAGTAGTTAAGTCGGAAGGAAAGCAGGAACATTCTCTGGCTCCGACAGCTGCCTCAGTTCTCTGTCCACTATCACATCATGTATTGTACTACTACTGTAATATTCTCTACTCTAACGTCTCACTGACTCACATATCAGTCATGCACCGCTTTGCTTTAGTAAGATGCTTTGTAGCATGTAACTTCAAGGAGCCTGAACTTCCTCTCCTCCATGCTGCTCTGATGACTCAATATTGGCAGATGTACTATTAACATTTTTGAATTGTTTAGGGTCCCCTAATGTGACTACTGGCTCAGCTGAACTTGTCATGTTTTAGTTAGCTGATTTCTGACAGCAAGCATAAGAGAGATCAGTGAATCCCATGTGCAGCTTTGTATAAACAAGGCTCACAGAGAAATTCAGGACACAGATACAAACATGTTCTGGCTTGTAAAGAAAACATGACTACATGTTTGAAAATCTGTCTGATCTAACATGGATCATATGATGTCCCACACTAAGGTGGTTAAAAAAATGAAATGTAATGATGGGCACTTGAGTGTGATATGGTGGTGTGGCTCACCAGTCGGGGTCTGGTCTCCCTCAGGAAGGTCTTGAGGTCTCCTCCTGCCATCAGCTCCAAAAGAATGAACCTGGGCATAGCCTGCAGACTGACTCCTATACAACGCACAATGTTTTGGTGGCTGAACTTGCTGCAGGGACAGAAATACAGCAAGGAAATATGCATCAGAAATGGCTTTGTTGGCACCATATGACAGGTATAATTGTTTTTAATCATCTAAGTGACTTTTACCTGATGATTAGAGCCTCCATGAGGAAATCCAACTCATCTTGCTCAGAGCAAACCTCAGGAAGGGTCTATTTTAATGAGAAATAAAATCTCAGTGCATGAGTGGCTATACATTTTTTAAACAGGCGTTATTATAATTTGTATGTAAGGCTTAGTGAAAAGAGGTGAGTCAGTATTTGTGCTACAAAGTCTTGAACTGTACAAGAGATATGCAAAATGTAACAGAGAAAAACTGCTTATGTTCAACTCCATGATCTCCTATCCTGAGAAAGGGATTCTGGGTACAAACGTGGAGGATGTGTAATTAGCTTAGAAGCCCCTCTGGGTGTGATTTGTTTCTGAGACTAGTTAAGAATTCACCTTGACTGCCACCTGCAGTGGACTTGGTTCACCTGGTATCCCCACTGCCAGCCCTTCATACACTTCACCAAAAGCGCCATGACCCAGACCCCTGGAGACACAAATGCATGCATTATTTACAGTGGCATTCATATTTTAGGCATTAAGATGAAACCTTCACTTAATCAAGATAAGGTTTAAGCTGAGATTTCTAGGCTAAAGGCACAGGAAGCAACTTGAGGCAAATCCTGTATGTCCTAAATGTACTCAGATTGTTTACGTAAGTGAAAGTAGCAATACCACAGTGTAAAAATACTCTGTTACAAGTCCTGCATTCAAAATGTTACTTAAGTAAAAGTAAAAAAGTATTAGCAGAAAATATACTTTAAGTACCAAAAGTAAAGGTACTCAGGAATTATATTGTGTTCTTGTATTTTTATTTGCTTACCTCACTTGCTGCTTTAAAGTGCCTTAGATTTGTGATTTTACTGCCTATTTAGATTTGTGTTATTGCTCATCTACCTTATATTTCACTTGTATTGTGTGGCATTCATGTGGACGGCAAAGTAAGAATTTCATTTTACAGGGAAACACGTTTCCTAACTGTGCATATGACAAATAAACACTTTGACCTTTGATAAGAACTGAAAAGGTCCTGCAAGAGTCATTTCCCAGCCACTGGGATTACCACAGTACACTTTACACTTTAATATTTCAGGTCTTATTTAAACTGCTACTTCTGCTTAAGCAGTATGTGCCTGCGTATTTTTATTACGACAGAGACCTACATCATTTGTCATGCTTGTTCAGATACTGTTATACGTGCATCAGTATTTCATCACAGGTGTAATCCATCCTGCATGCCATGGTAACGGGACTGTTGCCGTGTGGGATCCTGAATATTTTACCTGGTGAGGGAGATATTACGCCGTGGCACTTCCTTCAGGTCATTGACTGATGCCGTCTTGCCGCCGAAGCAGTAGTTGGGGTTGTAGTCGGTCATGATGGTGGAGGCCCGCAGCTTACTGAGTTTGCAGTCTGGACTCTGCAGCTCCAGCTGAATAGACTGCAGCTCTGTGTGTTTACGCCTGTACACTGGGGAGATGAAAATAAAAGAGCCGTTTCATTCCACTACTGAGATATTCACATAAAAAAAAGCAAAAACCTTGAACCCCCTCTCCTTGTAGAAAAATACTGCTGGCAGCCAAAGCACACAGAGTGGAAAGATGTTACAGTTATTATTTCTCTAAAGACCTGTTGGTTGTACAACAGCAGGTTTTATGAAATTTAAGTCTTTGAAATATTGATTTCTTTTTATCTGATGACCGATCTGTTATTCTCAAATATTCAGAGATATCATATTTTAGAATGAAACACTCAGCATTTAAATCTGTCAAATCCAAGTTAAAACACAATCCTAAGTACAATGCATATGCAAACAGTAACAACCTAGACAACCTTGTTTGTTCATACTGCCAATAAAGGCACTACATGTAGAGTGACCCACAGAATGGGGCACACACAGTGCCAGAAGCCTCAACCTGGGCTGTGAACACATTAGTCACAGGGGCAATTGTATGAGTGTGTGTATATATTTATGTGTACAGGCTTACTTGTTAGTAGGGGAGTTATTTATTTACCAAGTGGTGTGTAATGTATGAGTGCTGTCAGCTGTGTGTGCAAGAGTGTTAGTGTCTGGATGGCTGTTGGTCTGCAAGTGTGAGCGTGAGCGTGGGCGTATGTGTAGGAGATGATGGCTCAATGAATGCCTATGCCCGGTGGTAATAGTGTGAAAGCAGGCAGGCAGATGGAAGTCTGAGCTGGCTGCGAGGCTCACTTCTTACACTGACAACGACCTGCTGAGAGGGAGCAGGACAGACCCTGGAGGATTGTGTGTGTGTGAAAGAGAGTGAGAGAACATGTGCCTACTGTGCAAACAGAAGACATTGTTTGTGTATACCTCTTAGACATTTAGTGGCAGTCTGGCTCTTTACTGTTGTTTACTGCTTTGGTAATCATTGCTGTTGCTGCTGGATACCTGCATTTCCCTTGGGATCAATAAAGTATCTATCTATCTATCTATCTGTTGGTAACAACTAGTTCAACTTTTCCATGTTCTTGGTCATCATCATTTTTGTTGAGGCATTATATTTGAATATCTGACTGTAATGTTATCACAATATTATATAACAACGATATTATACATAATAGTAATAATAATATATCATATTATTACAAATGCACTAAACTACTGTGACTATAAAGAAGGGAGTAGTTAATGAGTGAACAACAAAGTGATTTCAGACATATGAATTCTTTTTTCTTGTTCAGCTAATTAACTTATTTAAACTCTGCTTTAGGCCTACATCAAAATTAGTAAAGCAATTTAAACATATTTTACAGCTGAATAGGTCAGAATTAAGAACAGATGAAATGTTTGTTTCCTATAGTAGTTACTATAGTGTAATATCAATAGAGAGAAGATGTCAGTATACATCTAAACCCTGTCCAAACCTTCTGCAGGAAGCTCTGGACAGGGTTTAGACAGATACTCATTAAAGCTACTCCACCTAATTTCTTTTCAGAGGGTCTTGTGAGACTCAGAACAAACTGACAATATAAGCTGCTCCTAACTATACAACCATCACGTCCTGTTTCCTAGCAACAATAGAAAATACAGATGCCTGGTCGAGACAAACTGTATAAAATGCAAGTCTGAAGCTTGTGTTAGTTGACTAATAAATGTATCTGTCCAGTATAATGCTCTGGTTACTGCTAATGTCACACAGCACTAATGCTACTCAAAGCTCAAATTACTTTGAAATTTAATGCAATTCCAATGTAAATTCAGGCCCATGTAGGTGGCAAATGTTACAAAAATAAACACATTAGCTAATGCATCCAAAAGGAAGCCACCTCATTTGAATCAAATTGGATCTCTTGGCTGCTTTTAACACCCTCCATCTCAAAAAGCCAAACTGATACCCTGGTTTTTGCTCTTTCTTTGTTCCGCCCTCACTGTGCAAAAGAACATAACTTCTACAGCCTGGCAGGCTGGCTGTTTGGAATGGCTATGCACAGTCTGAAAAACAGTACTGATAACTGTTGCTAGGTGGCAGGCCAGCAAGCTACAAAGCATATTCTGAAAACAGTTTATAGAAGGTGGAATAACAAAAGAGTGCCATGGAGGGGGGTAGTATAGAGGAGAGACGTCGTGTCCTGTCCCAATTTCACTTGATTTATCAGACGATGGAAAATATGAGTTAATGCACCTTTAACCTCAGAATTATCATCAGCATTGAAATAAGTTTTCAACTAACAGTAGCATTTTAGAGGTGGCTCACCTGCAAAATGTGACTGAAACAGATGCAGAACAAGACTTTGCACTCCTTGCTTCCTTCTGCTACAGGAACTGGAAGTAACTGTGATTGTTCTATATTTTGCTTAGTGGGTCACTTATTCACAATGGGACAATTTTGACAGCTGTCATTCCAAACATTAGATTTATAGCTACCTTGCATTCAAAATATCTGGACAGTTGAACAGATGTATGGTTTTGAAAATTGCTGATTTAAAAAAAACCCACTTGTGCCATGATTATGTATATACTAATACAAACTATTTTCATCCCAAAAAATTCAATTCAAATCTAGTGTCTTAGCACCACAGAGCTACTGACTGATGTGTGATGATACTCACTTATCATGACCCCAGACACAGCCAGCAGCAGGGCAGCAATGAGGGCCGAGGTGCCCACAGACAGACCCAGCGCCAAGTGGGAGAGAGACGGCTGTGGAGGCAGCTTGAAGACCTCTGCAAGACAAGGGGAAACAAAAGTGTTGCACAGTTGTTTTCTTCCCCAGAGGAATATTAACATTCACTCTGCCACTCTGATCCTCAACTTAATTAATGATGCGAAAGCGATGACACAACAGAGCTTAGCAGCAGTGACAGTTGGTGCATGTCAATTCCTTTTCAGCAGCGAGGGGAAATCTCATTTCACTTGTCTAAGCTGAGGAGCTGCACAATGAGAGGCCATTCTGCGAGTGTGACCTTTTATGACCTAGCATCATAGGGTTATCTGCTGCTTCTCATTACTGACAGATTTGCACGTCACAGGACAAGGAGATGCTTACAATATTATTGAGGTGGTAACAGCTCTGTTATTGTGCTTCAAATTACAAAGTGAGATTCCATAATATGAATTGCATTCATATTTTCAAACCATAATTGAAGAGGCAATTCTTGGTCCACAGGGGTCTGTCAACATTCTTTTGCTAGAGTTTAACCCAAGAAGAAGACATGGCAACTTGTGTGAAAGCTGATTTTTAGTCAAGGTTGACTTGGCCTAACGGGCAGAGCCAACTTATCTTACATAATTTACTGTACCACAGGCTCATTTAGCCCGTTATAAAATGCATTCTAAAACTATTGTATAACGTCATTACACGAGTGTCCAGGTGAAACCTTATATCCTAAATCCTTGACAAGATAACGTGCTTTTATCTGACTGTAGCAGAGGTAAATCACAGAACAGGGCTCACCATAGGGTGAAACACCACCTTATAATGCCAGAGGAGAATTCAGTTCCATTAACAGGCTAGTTTATCCAGCGGATTGCTTATTATTAGGAATGATTAAGGAACTATTAAAATACACTTCCTCAGATAAAGATTGAATAAAGCACAGAGCCTCCCAGGCTTAATTACTTTTGTACACAAATTCATTATCTATTCAGTTTACTACAGGTGCAATTATATTCAGCTTAACATTTGTATGTTAGGATTCATTTTACATATTTGTGTGGAACAGAGAGAAATAGACAGCAGCACTAAAATACTGTATGTCAGACCTGTAGCATTGATGCAGGACACCCGATCTGGTCCCAGGATGAGGTCATCATCGCAGTAGCACACAACGCTGTCCTTGGTCTCGTGGCATTCACCGCTCTCACAGTGGCTGCAGTTCTGCACCGGACTGATGATCACCTCACCATCCCCCTCCATGCCTTCACACACACATGCACACACACACACAGGAAGGGGGGTGGGGGCAGACCAGATGTTTCCAGAATAGACAGGGTTTGATTAGACATTTCCAGGATGCCTCATGTTAAAGTGAGCAAACGTTCAATAACACTGTGTAACTATACTATACTCAATATAGTATTAAGTGATCCAAATGAAAAAATGCATGTGGATGACTTTTCTAGGTTTTACTCTCCCCACCATCATCACCCTGTGTGGTGTACACAGTTACAACATATGTAATACAAGATAATAATAACAATAATAACAATGACAATAAAGCTCTCCCCATTTGGTGTTTCATTTAAGAATTGACTCCTGAGGTCTGGAAAAGTCTGATTATCGGATTTGCTCATGATGAGTGTGTTGCTAAATACACACAGAGTGCAGTCAAGAACAAAATCGGCTTTTCGGTGACTGATCTTCAGTTTATCTGTTAAATCAGAGACAAAGATGGAATGCCATTCAAACCATTTATACAGGTATTTGGTGCTGCTGTGGTCTTGGAGAGCCTGGGTTCATGGACAACAGACGCATTGCCACAGCACATCTTCGTAATATGCTTGTCTTTGGCTGTGCTTCTGTTTCCTCACCAGTATGAATCCATTTCATGAGCAAAAGCTAATCCAAACTATAAAAGATGAATCAACCTGTAGCTGTTCATCACTGATTCTGACAGTACAGTAGATGTGCTAATCAGTGAAACTGTCTGTCTATTGACAACATCCTTTATTTTATTTAGGTCTAAAATATACCCTCTTAATATCTTAATTGTAAACCACAGCAAACAGGGACAAATCAGCCTAATGTGAATTAGTTATGGGCTATGAAAGCTTGTACTGTTTAGCAAGCAAAGCAAATGCACTCATCTGCAGAATCTATCAACTTTATAAGTACAAATACATAAACCTAATGTAGAAACAGCTCCAAGGTTTTGAAGGAAGAATACAAATGTCTCGAGTGGATATGTCAACTGCATACTAATATGTAGGTGTGAAAATCTATGTGTGGATCTTTAGTCACAGCTGTGTTGGGTCCTCCTTCATGCTACCTCCCAATTGGAGTGAAGCTCCTCTGCTGAATAGGACATTCTGTCTGCACTCCTTACTTTTGCTTAATGATACAATTATACTATATGCATCATGCAAAACTTTCTCAACTATCAAAACCAGACAAGAATCCATATTCAGGGTCAATTTCCTGCCATTCAGCTTCTTGAATAATGGTCTGCTTAGATCTTTGTCATGCATTTTCTATTTCATACAGATGGATCAAGTGTGATTGGTTGAAGCTCTCCTCACCTCTAATAACCCTAATGCAGTATATGCATGTTTTCTCTAGTGCCTACTATCATCATTGACTGGCTGAGTCACCTGATCTCAATCAGACTAAGCTGCACCGCACTTGCTGAAAAGCAGACTAATGGCCTGGAAAGACCAGCACCAAGGAAGCTATAGGACAAAGTATCTGCTGATGTCTATGGGTTGACTGCAAAGCTGCAAAAGATTTTCCACAAAATATTAACCATGATCATTTTGACTTCATGTGTAGCTCTGTCCAAGTGCTTTTAAAACTCGAAACTTTGGGCACTAGGTGGATGTTTCAGTCAGGTTTTGGCCCTGATCCTGATCAGAGTCCCTTAATATTGGGTATCTGTTAATACAATGTCCAGTATGATCCAGAGTAGTACGCTCCAAAGTCTGCAACACACACAGACACAGTGCCTGTAGAGATGGAGAGGAGGAGCTGGTCTCAACCTGCCAATGTAAAACAAATTTTATACATTTCATAGTTAATTACATTCAACTGCTGTATGAAATCAGCATTTATTTTAAGTTTTTTAAACATACTTTTACAAGTTCCGGGGTGAGAAGGGACTGTATTTAGCATTTACAATCCTCTTATTAACATATGCTGTGAAAACAGCTAAAATTGTGAATCTGATTAAATATCCTTATGTAATTAACAACACAAACCAGTGATGCAAAAGTGTTAACCAGCTGGGCCCACATAAGAGTGAGGATAATGTGTGATTTGACAGATAAAAATTCTGTGAAAAAATCTCTTATTCACAGCTGAGATTCATTCTGAAGTCTTTCTCCTCCAGAGGAAATGAAGTCAGGTCAGTGATACAGTGTGATGAGGACTGTGATTGTTGAAAGAGGCACTGCACCACAACATCCCTCCTATTGAATCTCAATGGAGAGATCTGTGTGCGTACTATATCTGAACTGAAGGCAGCTTTAAAAAGCACTCCAGTGTCTATTTCCCATTTCCCCCTTTTTGCTCCTTCTCTATAGAGCTCAGTGAAGAGGGAATCTTAGATGATTTATGGATGTTCAACAAGCTTATCACCTCAGCTGAAATTTCAGACAGTGTTTTTAATACCTGGCAAGTTCAAATGTACAAGAAGCACAGAGCAGAGGTAGATCAACAGGTTTACACAAGATGATATTGACCAGCTCCTCCTCTGAACCTGGAGGCATGCTAATCAATAAAATAATCTGCTGTGTAGTCTTTGGTTGGAATGAAACACGGTCCACTCTCCACAACTCTCCACATGTGCTGCGCATTTTAATAAAATCCTTTTTGATGTCACAGAGTGACAACAAAAACTAATTTAAAATATAAACAACAAACAGTTTTTCTCCTTCTGTGAAGTACAAACACATTAAGTCTCACCTACATACAGTAAAATGTGTCAAATGCAATTTGCTGCCTGCTGACTAGTTTCTATTTTTAAAAACAGCCTAGAGTCCTGTCACATTACCTTTCAGAGGATAAAGGAAGGGTTCACCCTCTGGACCAATGAAGGATGTGCCATCATCACCATCTTGTTTGGGGTTGTTATCTATGGAGGTGTTGCCACCTAGAAACAAGGAAGGCAACCACAACACCTGACAAAACCTCAGTGCCATAAGTACACAAATGAACACATGGTATGTTCAATGGGACATACATAAAAACATTTCAGAGCTCATTTCATACAACATCCAGACAGATACACTGGGATTAGAATGTCCGTCCACATAGCTGCAATCCCTGTCAGCCAGATTCTGATTGTCTGATTGTTCTGAATTTCCATGCGTATTTATATAATTAACACTTTTCTTTCTTTTTTTCCCCAATGCATTGCATTGCAGATTAATAATTACAGTTACTTGCATTATGCTTAGCACCCTATCTGCTTTAGTGTTATTTACATTTCTTATTATGTAGATTTGTGTGTTTTCTTGCACTGCCCATTGCTGTAAAACCCAGTTGTCATGTCAGTTGATTGACTGAGTAGAGGGAGGACACATGCAGCCATTTGAAGGATTCACCCTGATCCTTGATCTGTACAAACTCAAATTCAGTAGAGATCATATATGGCACTATAAGATGTACAATTTGGTCATGTCTGACAGACATTTTATTTATTATTGATTTATTCTGTGGACATCTCCGAAAAACCTTGGAAATCTTCTGGACTAACCTCTGTAGCCTCCGCCGCCGCCCCCCGACATACACCCTCCTCCGCCGCCCCCAAAGCCGCCGCGGGTCTGCCAGAACTTTTGACAGGCCTGCCCTCCCTGGCCCCCCAGCACCAATGGTCGGCCACCCTGAATGACAGGGACACTGTCATTCCAACCTCCACCGCCACCTGTCACCAAACACACATTTGATATTATGTGAAGTAATGTGCTGTGTTGTGAATCACTGTGTGTGTGACAGAGGGGAACTAAGAGAGGGAGTCAGTCACTGGAAAAAAGGCACTAAACTGCAGAAATTCATGTGGCATGTCTATGAACACACACATGCGCGCACACACACACACCAAGTATCAAGTATAATCAGGCCATCAGTGACTACAAGCCTGGTAACTCCACCCCAACAACCACACGTCTCCTTTTTCAATGAGCTAAATGATAAATGGCTTCTATACTCGCTTCGACCGGGACAACAAGGAGACAGCTATCAAGTCCAGACCCTCTACAGACCACCGACCGCTCACACTCACCTCCACTGATATGTATGTTGCACTGAACACATGCAAGGCTGCTGGCCCTGACAGCATTACTGGATGCGTGCTCGGGGCATGTGCTGGACAGCTTGCTGGCAACATTATGGATATCTTTAACCTGTCCCTTGCCCAAGCAGTTGTGGCGACATGCTTCAAAACTACCTCCATTGTGTCATTGCCGAAACATTCCACCCTGACGTGCCTGAATAACAACCGCCCTGTAGCACTCACACCCATCATCATGAAGTGCTTCGAGTGCCTGGTCCTGGCACACCTGATGACCTGTTTCCCACCAACACTGGAGCCCCACCAATTTGCCTACCGAAGGAATAGGAGTAAGGAGGATACAGTCTCCATAGGACTGCACTCTGTACTCAGACATCTGGACAATAACAATACTTACATAAGAATGCTGTTCGTGGACTTCAGCTCAGCGTTTAACATGGTCATCCCCTCCAAGTTAACGACCAAACTTGGAAACCTGGGCAACAGCACCTCCCTCTGCAACTGGATTCTAGACTTTCTGACCAACAGGCCTCAGCATGTTAGGTCAGACAACACCTGCTCCTCCACCATTATCCTCAACACCGGCGTACCACAGGGTTGTGTGCTGAGCCCATTCCTCTACTCCCTTTTCAACCACGACTGCAGGCCTGTGCATGGCTCCATCACCATCATCACGTTTGCAGACGACACCATGGTGATCAGCCTCATTAGTGACAATGACGAGTCATCCTACCAGGAGGAGGTACAGCACCTGGCTGTATGGTGCACTGATAATAACTTTCTCCTTAACACCAACAAGACCAAGGAGCTCATTGTGGACTACAGGAGGGAGAAAGAAGGCACACACAATTCCATCCATATTAACAGGATGGTTGCTGAACGTGTTCCCAGCTTCAACTTCCTGGGGACCCACATCTCTGAGGATCTGTCCTGCAGCCTGGTTAAGAAGGCTCACCAGCACCTCTTCTTCCTGAGGACACTGAAGAAGAACCACCTGTCTTCAGTCATCCTGGTGAACTCCCACTGTGTCATCGAGAGCATCCTGACCAGCTGTATCACAGTCTGGTATGGAAACTGCTCTGTCTCCGACTGCAAGGCATTGCAGCGAGTGGTGAAAGCTGCCCAACGCATCACAGGGACTCCACTTCCAGCCATTGAGGGTGTCCACAGGGAACCCCCACTGCCTTCTTCTAAACCACTACACACACCTCACCCCTTTTCATCTCTCCTCCCGGAACTAATGCAATAAACCTCTGTTACCTGTAACACTGAAGTGATCTGTTAATTTGAGCATACTCTACTCACAGTAGTGTATTCACAGAGCAGTATCACTGCTCATTTGAGTGTATGTGCTCGTTTGCACACTGTTCATATGCAGATACTGTATATTTTTCTTTATCTTTGTATTATTTACATCCATTGAAATGTTCACTCATGGGAATCCATAGTCTATTGTGTATCGTACATACTGTATCTTACTATAAATATCAATTGTACATATCTATCAGTAAATTAGTTCTGACTGTACATACTGTAGAACTGCGCACTCTTCACTGCTGTTATTGCACTTCTGGTTAGATGCTAAACTGCATTTTTGTTGCCTTGTACTTGTACATGGGTAATGACAGTAAAGTTGAATCTAATCTAATCTAATCTAATCTAATCTAATCTAATCTAATCTAATCTAATCTAATCTAATATAATCTAATCTAATCTAATCACACACAGTGTGAGCGCACAATAATCACCTATTAGTGATAACAACATGAGCTAGAGCAAAAGCCACAAAAACATAAAAATCCCTTGAATTTGGAGGACAGAAACAGGAGATGATGTCTTTCAAAACCAAGAACTATTGTATAGTTTGTGGGTTAATTAAATTGATCCAGCTTTATTCATCAGAATTTCCCTCTGATGACATTCAAAAGTAAATTTTTTTTCAAAGGCTGGACATTTCTAACATGTAACGTGTAACCTACTGCAGTTGGATCAGTTGATATATTTTCAAGTTAGAAATTTTGTTAAAAGTAATAGTGCTAATTTTCCACTGAGTTCACCTGCTTCTGGTATTGGCAATCTCCTCTCTGTACTAGACCTGCCAAAGGGTCAGGTTTCATATATATGAATGGCAGAAACAGTAATTGTTCTGGAGTCCAGAAAATCAGAGAACGTTTGGGAGCAGGAACTAGGCAAGCCCTTTTCAGACTCCTGATGGTGTGATGCTTTAGAAACAGTCAATTCCTCATCCTCATGTACTAGGTTGGGCCTAATACAGTTTAAAATACCCCATGGAGCCCATCTGGGCAAAGCTAGTTTGGCACAGACTTATCCTGATGTTACTGATAACTGTGACAAATGCTGTTAATCCCCATATCATCTTACTCACATATACTGGACTTGTCCCAAACTTATAAGATTCTGGAAATCATTTTTAGCATATTATAAAAAGTGCTCAATAGAAATATTATCCACTCACCTGAAATTTCAATTTGTGGTATCCCACTTGTAAATAATAGCTATATACAGGCTAATGTGATTAAGGCTGCAGCTCTAATCGCTCGCAGGAGAGTACTGCTACGCTAGAAATCACAAACATATCTTCTATCCTATCCTCCGATCTTTCATAAGATTAGAAAAAAATTATACATGGGGTGAGGAGATCATCGGATAAACGTTACCCTCACTGGGTATATAGCAATCTTATTTTGTTCAAACTTTATCACCAGAAGAGACTAAAATGTATGAATCTGCCCAAATCTGTTGCATAATTTTTTCTATATTTATTTATGTATTTTGTAATTGTTTGGTCTATATTTTGTGGTGTCCCTTATAGAGTTTTGTGACAATTATTTGCCCATATAGTGCTGGTCTGCAGCAGTTATTGGAGATTTGCTTTCAAAATGGACTGGAACATGATATGAACTAAAATGCTTTAAAGAGTAATGTCCTCCCTACTTCTTACAATCATGTGAGAAGTAGGGAGAAGAGGAAATTGGTGTTTCCAGATTTCTTCCTGGTGGATACTCCCCTGAAGAACTGTATCAATATAAAATATTTGGGACACTATATCAGACATGACCTGTTTGACAATAGGGACATTTTGCTCACTATTGGTTAAAATTTCTCTGCTCACAGCCTTCTGCACCCCTCTGTATGCTGGTCACCTGTGGCAATGCTACAGGAGGGGCAGCATGCAGAGGTTTATGGTGGCTTATAATGATGGTTTGAGGATATTCCTGAAGATTCTGATGTATTGTACTTCCAGTGAAATGTTTGTGGATGCTAATGTACCTACTTGTATGGCTCCTTTGTGTAACTGGATGTTTAGATTTATGTCCAGACTTAGTGGCTTGTTGAATGGCATTATTTTGGCCTATCCATCTATACATCTACAGTATCTATCTGGATTGTGGAGTAAGTGACTATATTTTATGTGATTTAAATGCAATGTTGTTGGTCTTTTTCATATGTATATATTTGTTTTAATATAGACCATTTTTCCTTTAGTGTCTAGAATAAAGTTTGAATGTATGAATGGAATATGAACACATTGCACCACAGATTAGATGTTGGGATGGGAGCTGGGAGAGGAAATGGAAAATAGGTTTATGTATTTTTTTTCTTTTAAAAGAGACCTGGCAAAACAAGATTAAAGGTATAGCTAATAAATGTAAAACTAATCCCTTCTATATTCTCCAACACTAGCCAACTAAATTTTCCCCTTTCATTTTCCTCCTTCTCATCTAAAACTTGAGATGGAAAAAAAACCACCTCACAACACTAGCAACAACCCCAAAGACATGCTGAATATTTCATTTTTCATTCACAGAGTTTCTTCAAAAGTAAACCTTGGGCTTTGTGAAGATGTGAAAATCAATATCACATGTTTTTCAGGCTGTTCATCAACTCTGGGAACATGAATAATGGAAAGGAGCTGCAGAGAGCATGGATGTAACATTACACTGGTACTTCTGCCCAGCAGTGACAGAGGGGGAAGTGATTGGTATGAATAATCATGAGGAGGGTCACGCTGTTTTGTGTTTGCCAAAACACAAACACTGGCACACAGAGCTGCAGCATGACAGTTATACCGTAAAAAAGAAGTAAATAGCTTGGGGCTACTTGGATGTGTTTACAAGTACAGGTAGACATGGAAACCACTTCCACTCAGGCTACATTATCTGTTCAGGTTATCAGTACATCGGTACTTTTTTCATGATCTCATGCTCTCTCACTACACTATCGCTTCCTGCACTCTCACTAACACTCACAGAACTGCAGTCACAAAGAATGCACTAAATATATTTTGTTTCCCTATGCATACACATAGCCAACACAGTATCAGCTACACACACATACAGATGATACCAGCACACATTAAAGCCGTGTGTAGTGAACTGTACCTGCTGCATATGATTTCCCATTACGTCCTGGTTGGGTGGGGTCATAGTCCATCTGCTCCAGCTGGGTCTGTGATTGGCTGCTATAGCCCCGGCCACCTCCACCAGCAGCAATGATGAGGGGGATGTACACTCCTTTGTCCACCTAGGTCATTATTGTTTACAGTTATATTTATGTAAAGGCTTCTGTTTTTTAAAGGAAAAACTGTTTTGGGAAACACACTTGTTTCTCGCTGAGAATTATATGAGAAGACTGGTATCACTGTCATGGTTTTGTGCTAAATAATGTATGTAGACAGAACCAGCAGCTGGTTAGCGTAATTGGGAAAAAGCCATCCTGACCCTGTTGACTGGTAGAAAAAATCCACTTTTCATCACTGCTACAGTTCACAAATTGAAAGGTTAATCATATAGGCTGCTAGGGAACTAATTCTTGGCTAGCATTTCCCAAACTGTCAGATGATTCCTTTAAATGAATACTGTTATACAAGTTGTGTTGTCAGGCCACTAATACCTTTAATTTCATATATCTAATATGAATTTCTTGAATGGTACAAATGTAATTTATATTCTACTTGTAGCAACAAAAAAAACTTGGCTAATTGTGACACATTATTTGTACTGGATACCATTCAAATGAAAATCTCTATAAATCATGTGCAGTCTGTAAATATCAAGTATAAAAATATCTCTCTGTGCCTGAGTGTGTCGTTCCCTCAGCACCTTCTCACCTTGAACACATACGAAGCACCGCCACCTCCCCCTGCGCCCCCCTTCACTTGAGTTTTGTTCACCATCGGGCCGCTCTGTTCCAGGCAGATCTTATTCGGTATGCCTTTGGACTGCAGGGAGGGAGAGAGAGATGTCAGTTCTCTTAAGAATCAGTTTCCTGGATTTCAGTCGTGTACAAGATGGCTGGGCAGTTGCCAAACCCCAGATGTTGTAAGCCCAAGGTTTTAGCATTATAAAAGTGAACGAAAAGTGAAACATGCAGATGCACACAGAAAGTGTAAATCAAGGACCAGTAGTCAATTTATACAACAATTCCAGAGTGATTTGAGCATTTACTGACTGCATGTTTATCCTCTGTTTTACATGACTGTAAATCTGTGATAGTGTTGTAGAACAGTTCCCTGTTGATTCCTGTGCTATTGGAAACCAAAGTGGAGTAAATAAAGCTGAGTGCCATTGTTGTTGCAGATGTGTAAACAACATATCCACTGAATTCACTATAAACGTTAATCATTCTGCCGCTGAGAAATAGTCGTGCTTGTCATTCCTGGCTACTACTACTAACACTGATAATGTATTCATGTTCAAGTTAACTAGACTACTGGCATTTTTACAACATACAAATAAGAATTAACAGTTTGCTCATCATTTCTGCAGGTTATATTATTTGGAAGTTATGCATTTCATCTTAAATGGGTGTGAAAACAGTTTAACATTTACCCATTATGTTTGCAGCTGATTTGTCATGTCACCAGCGAGGAAGTCAGTTTGTTGTGGTGCCACTCTGTTTTCCAGAAATACAACCTCTTTATAAAAATGAAACTGTTGGCAAATGATGTTAGATGCAGGGACTTTGCCATAGCTGAGGTTCAGTAAACTGACGAGCCTGCCTCGTGTGTGGCCTCATGCTGAACAGCCTGGAGCCAGTCCTACTCTGGGAGCAAGAGGGCATGTGTTTCCTCCGCTCACTCTACCCGAACCTTTCACAAACACACACTCACAGTCACGTCTTCACTGACTGTGATTGACAGGTAGAGGGGTAAAAGGCAGTGCATTCAAATGTTCTAGGAGAGTCTTCCTTACTTTCTCCCTCTCAGTCTGTTCTGTCTGTGCAGCTTCTCATTTTAAAGTTGAGCTTGTGTCTGAGAGAGAAACAGAACAACGGAGGGAAGTTGTGTGTGGGTCTGCTGTGTGTGTGTGGCAGAAAGAGAAAGACATGCATGGAAAGAGCTAGTATTTGGCAGGAGAAGAGGGGTATCATTTTCCTCGCCAGTGGGTGTGAAGGTGTGAGAAAACTGTTCGACAGCAGAAGTCACTTTCAGAACGACCTTTTGGACAGAGTCACTGCCTCTCTCTGTCAGAGCTGTGGGGAAATAAGAGAAGCCTTAAATGACTTCACTCTCATGTTGGAACAGCCTTGTCCCTCTGCTCTGCACTGAGCACTTCAGGACATCCAGTGGACACACTAATAACTGCAGGACAGTGGTGAAGAGCCCTGCCTGCTAAGATACACATTCTTGAAAACAAAACACAACGAGCACTTTACTGAGCTGACACAAGAAGGGCTGCTACATCAGCTTCATCCTGTAGTTCATGTCTGAAAGATATTATCTCCATATGAACATTTACAATTCATATTAAAGATGTTTAGAGTTTTGTGCCGTCACTGCTACAGCTTGCTGAGGCACTTGTCTTTTTAAAACACAGTAAGTGTAGTGACCAGTTAAGAACTAAATTAAACTGAACATCCATTCATTTTCTATACCACTTAGTCCCAAACAGGGTCACGGGGGGTTGGAGCCAATCCCAGCCAGCTGCGGGCAAGAGGCAGGGTCCACCGTGGACAGGTCGCCAGTCCGTCGCAGGGCTAACACGCAGACGAACAACCACTCACACACACAGTCACTCCTACGGGCAATTTAGAGACACCAATCAACCTATGCTGCATGTCTTTGGACTGTGGGAGGAAGCCGGAGCACCAGGAGAGAACCCACGCAAGCACGAGGAGAACATGCAAACTCCGCACAGAAAGTCCCTGGGTCGGCTGGGGCTCGAACCCGGAACCTTCTCGCTGGGAGGCTAACCACCGCGTCATTGTGCTGCCCTAGATTTCTCCAATTATATCCAATTATGCTAATTTCCTGATTGTTTGATAAGTGCCAGATTTCAGCAGCTAACCCATTTCCCTATTTTAGTGTCGGGACAGGCCTTAATTTTTGAAAGTTTGAATAGTGGATAATGGATGCTTTCATTGGCGGCTAGTGAGACAGAGTTTTAGTCTCAGTGTTGTACACTGAGGGGAGGCATACTGTACTGCTGCCAGGGAACAAGCTCCAGACCATAATGGATGACAGCCACCCCTGGCAAAAGAACACAAGTGAGCTTGAGAGAGACAATGGGGAGATCACTGCAAGTGTCGACTGCGGACATCAACAGTCATTTAAAATGTTACAAACTAGAGTATATATATCCAAAGTGAGACCTCAGAGGTCCATGAGGAGGACTGCCAGGGCCCCTCTAATACCTAGTCATACAGTGAGAATAGTTTATAAGCAACTGTGGGTCCATATTTTAGAAACTTAAATCATTGCAGGATTTACAGCTATTTTAAAGCAGAACCATACATGGAATCTGTATTATGAGCCTTCATTTTTTGAGTTTATGTTGTTTTGATGACACACTGTAGACTATAGGCTCTCACACACATACATCTATTTATGGCATGATAGTTGACTCACTTGATTACACTGATTAAAGAACACTCACCTTGGGACATGCGTCCTCTCCTTGTTGTCCCACCAGGATGTAAAGCAGCGTTATGTAGACACCATGTGACCTGCTCATGGCCAATACACTACGACCACCAGCTGCACCGTAGGCTGTGATCCTGGGGTTTAACATGCACAAACCCCTCATTAGTCAGACTGACACAGGAGCTGAAAGGCTGGTTGATTCCATTTAGTGTTTATGGGTATAAACACGTCAAGTAGCAAGAGTTTTCTTGTTTTACACTTTTTCATCCAATGCTAATTATGTCAGTATTCTATATTATGAATTATAAGTGCTTACCAGAAATAATCTGAGGCTGATGAACAGGTCTCATGCAGTGAATTAACCTTAAATAGCAGTCAACATTAGTTTGGAAATTCTGAAACTCACTTTCACAACAGGTGTTTTGAATCAAAATATTAGCATGGCCTAACATGGCACTAGTGTGAAGCCTTAACATACCCAAAACTGGACTGCATAAACTACACTGCACACAAACACACAGAAAGAGACCAGCAAATACACACCTTTACAACACAAGACTAATTTCAAATGCTCCACTTTTCTTGCCAGGAGAAGAAAAAACAAATTGATTGGTTTTTGGGAGCGCTTCTATATTTCTCTTCCCTGGTGGTCGAGCTTGGTGAGGAGAGTGAGAACGCTGCCCAGTGCTCAGTAGCTACCTCAGCTGTTTGCCTAATGACTTTTGGGAGATGCAGAGAGCATATTCATCTCTGTGGCCGTCTGTCAGCTTCATTTACAGGCTCTGCCAGCCAAACCAGGCAGCATCAAGACCACAATTGTAGAGTTTCTGTGGAGGCAGAAGGTGTTTTTATATAATTCTGGGACATGTGTTAAGACAGTGCTGTCCATGCTGTTATTATGTATTTTAAGACTCAAGGATTTTGCGAGTGTATGTGTGTGCATTACTGTGTGCCTCTTTCTCTGTTGATGTGGGAGGATCTTTTAGAGATGCTTCTGTTTGAAGCATCCAAGTGAAATTCAAGTTAAACGGCTCATGTTGTCATGAATGCCCACAGGAGAAGTACTGATATCTGTACAAGGTGGTGAATATTACAGCATTAATCCTGGAACAGTACACAGTTTGAGGTCAAGGTGCTGCTGAGGGATTTCAAAGCCTTAAAAGCCAATAAGACAGACATGGAAGTGGGTGGTTTTTGAATTTCAGTCAGGTGCAGAGTGAATCATGCGATTTAGCTGCCATTACTCTAGCCTCAGCTCCCTCCTGCAAAAATCTGATAGTGATATTTCTTTGTTTTCTCATGGAAGATTGATGTGCTGCTGATGCACAGAGGAGTGGAGGTGGGTGTGAGGAAAAATCTGCATTGTTGTGAAAAATGTGAGATGCACAGAGTTGTTTTTATGCCTAAAAAGGAGATATTAAATTAACTGCATACCCTATGTGTGTGTATATAAGTGCATGTGCCTAATGATTGGCCTGGAAACCCTGGAGACCCTTCACAAAGAGATTAAATTCTTACAGAGTGGGTGTTGACTGAAATTTATTGTACAAATAATGGTAATTTCTCATTTTTGTGCTCAGAGGCTTGATATTCTGGCATCAGTCCTACCTGTAGGTGCCAGTTTCTGGGACCTGCCACATTTGAATGCCTTTGAAGGGCCCTCGGGTGCCTACTGTCACGTTGACGTTAGTGTTCATGTAGGAGAAGCGGCACCGAGTGGGAGTCGGGCCTTCAGGGCCCACAGCCCCACAGGTATGAAAATCCCATTTTTTGGCTGCACATGAAGAGAAAGGACATTGAGGACATTGAGTGCACAGTAGCAGAAGCACACACTCTGTGTGCAGTCTCACATGCATTTAAGCAAACCTAAAGATGATAAAGAGTCTGGAGTTCAGTGCACACCACAGACTCATTACAGTTCTGTTTGCCTCACATTCTTTCCACTTCACATTCCCCACTGCTCCAATTTCACATCATTAAAATCCAAATATACAGATATGAAGTCAATTATTCCATATTGAAGAAGGCAAGCTCTACTACTGCTACTACTATGAGATGTTAATATCATCTTATTCACAGCAGCAGCAGGGGATGTAGTGACAGGATCACAGGTGAAAAACATTTCTGCTCATTTTCCAGGGAATCCCATGTGTTGGAGCTAATTGGAGTTCTTTTCTCTGTAATTAGCATGAGATTAGTCTTGTCAGATGGACGTGGAAGGACTTAATGCTGCCGTACTCTCTCTGTGTGTGTGTGTGTGTGTGTGTGTGTGTGTGTGCATGTGTGAATGCTCTGAGACTACTTATCATTCATTTTGAAGCAGAGCTGATTATTACATCTGACACCAGCTAAGGTCAAAGTCATTCCTGCACTAGTCTCTGAGTTTCTGCTCATAATAAAACCTTAAACTGAAGATGCTCTCACCACAACAGCTTTTACTGCTCAGGTTGCCTGCTGTGTAATGCCTATTAGAGCTGAAGCTCAGGAACTGAGACCCTAATATTTACAAGGATCTCTCACCTCACTGAATGAGGAAAATAACTGCAGAAATCTGACAGTTTTAGCATTTGTCTGTTTGCACCACTTATTATTTATCTCCAATAGTGATTTCACAGGAAAATAAGTTAGTGTTTTTGTGAGTTAACAGTTTTAAAGTCATAAAAAATATACATATCTATATAAATTTCTTTAAAAAGTGTCTGCTTCTGTTGCTGCCAGTCCAAATGTTGACTAGTACAAGTGCTGAAACTGGGATGGACCGCATGACAACCATTGTTATTTGTCAGCCTGATTGGTTTGGTCCAAGAGCAGATCCAACATCAGTTCTTCAAACTGAACTTCACTCTGTCCCTCCACAAAAATCTCTTTTGATTTTGGTAAAGTGTTGACTGCAGATACAATTTCAAGCAGGCTGACACCTTCAAAAACACTTTGAAACAGTGCTACCATACATGTAGGAGAATAATTTGGAGTTTAGCCGAGTCTTAGCAAATGCACCCTTAGTGTAAAAACACTGCTGTGGGGTGACTGGAGCTCCATCTGGCTCCCATCCAGCAGCGGTAAATTGATCCCTCAAGTCAGTATTGTGAACACCCAGCAAGGTAAAAAGAGTTAGGACTACTGGGAATAAATCCCTCACTGGAGCAGAAAAGCCTCCAAAGCTTTACACGTAATCTCCTGTTCTTAACAAGTTACTGTAAGATGGCAAACAGTTAAAGTAGGACATGCTAAAGAGAAAGAAGTGAAGCTAAGATACAGAGTCTGAATTTGACATCTTTATTTACATTTTCTTATTTGAACAATTCTCAGCTATTTGATATAAATGAAATTGTTATGTAAAGTGAGGCTTGCATTCAGTTTCTCTGTCCAGTTTTCCTGACAGGGCGGCTGGTTTCACACATAAACCCAGCTGATCAATCTTGTTGGTCCATCAGCACGAGTGAGCTCTTATACGCACAAGCACACACAAGCACACACCAACCAACTGCCGCTGTGATAGGCACTCAGCAGAACAAACAAAAACAAGATGTGCCCTCCCAGGTGATAGTCTTCTCTAATAAGTGGTGTGCATGCTCATCAGCTCCTCTGACCTGCAACACACACACATACACACACACACATTCATATGCACATACATGCACAAACATCCAGGGGGAGACTGACTCTGGATGAATATTCCTGCATATGACTCTCCTTTTCTGTGAACACTGGTGGTATACCACCATCATAAACTGTGGCCTCCACCAAAGGAAGAGGTGATGCTGTACACTGGGATCGGACAGGAACTGTTGACAAGGCGAGAGAAAGAGAGGGACTCTCAGATTAGAAAAATGTTTCTGATTGGATTGCCGCCTTGACAGCAGCGTGTGAGTAGTCTTTATCTCCCCTGAACATAATTAAAACAAGACAACAGTAAACACGTCATTTTCAGTGAATGACACAGCCAATCTTTAGGCCAGTCTGTAACAAGTAAACAAACACCCAGTAATGCCTACAGAAGGAAGCAATAAGAGTCTTTCAGTTTTATGAAAAAATGATGAGCAATGTCCACAATATTGTGTGTTGTGACACACAGATGGATAGTTAAATGGACAGATGGACAAGGCACTCACACAAGAAGGCATGTTGTGCCAAGCTGCTATGTGATTGTGTTTGGAGACATACATTCTAATCTGTTCTTTCTCCAACTGCAGAAAAAAACAGAGCCAATCAGAACTTTACAGACTGGGATAAGGCTGTTTGTGATGAATGCTGCCCTCTCATACACCTGAATGGGGTCAGAGTATGGGGCTCTGGCAAAACAATGACCGGTGCAAGTAAGGACGTCATCTTCTTATGCCAGAGAAAATTTATATTCCAAACAACTCCTACTGTACAGTCAATAATGAGGTTTCAGTCTGATCATCAGGTGATGAAGCCACAGTTTGACATGATTTATAGGATATCTCTGTTAGTGTTGTCTCCACTACAGTTTTTCATTCAAAATAAAGCAGTTCATAACTTGTTTATCCATGGTATTACAAATCTTATAGCTCTATTAATCCTTTACAATATGGCAACTTTAAAGGTAAACTACATATATGGCTGCCCAAAGTAACAACAACTAGCTAAACAAAAACACCACCAACAACATGTAGACAGGTCATTCTATGCTGCCTTCCCCTCTTAGCATGCATCCTCCTTATCCAGTGACAGTTGTCCTCCTTGGGCCAGCCATTATAAAGATGGATCAAGGTTGGCACACCATGAATCGATTTGAATGCTAAGTACAAAGCTTATGGAGCACCTGAGTCCAATTAATTACAAAAGCCTGTTTTGCGTGACACTGTCTTAGTGACTAATGTTCCCCTTCCAAAACCCAAAGTAACAACAACTAGCTAAATAATTGCTGCAGGTCTGTGTTTATGAATAAGTAACCAAAGAAGCACAGGCTCACATCCCCTCTGTGCAGCTAATTAGTGAGCATGTAATGACCAAAACTCTTTTGCAGCATGCAGCATTCAGGGACTGACATCTGCTGTCAGTTATTTCAAGAGCCAAATGGATTGCTTCAGTCACCACAGCTTCTGTCTTTGATTTGATGCCAGTTTTTATCTACTCCACACAAATTGGGTTTCTGTTGTTGTCTGTTGTGGGAGTGGGAGCGAACACCTTGATATGAAAATGTGCTACCTGTTCAAAGAAGCTAATGCGTGTCCTGCAACACTTTCACAGATAAGGTGTAACTATAATATTTTGTTGCATGATGTTGTTTTATCATCTTAAAAGTACCTGAAAACACCAATCTTAGTCAAACACACCTATACAGACACATCTACACACACTCATACAGAAATTGGCCACTGAAAAATAAGCCTTGAACTCATTTTGAAGTTAGTGGCACGTTCCTTCCCGATCAGGAGAGGTAATCACAAAAAGAAAGGGATGCAAGCTCATCTGGGTTGACGTTTTCACTTCCCCCGAAAGTAAATGATGAGTCAGCAGTGAGCAGTGGGTGATGCACAGTAGGGCAGTGGTGAGAAATGAAAGTATCTGCTGCCAGAGGTGTAAGGAATCATGAGTGGAAAGGACTAGAATAAAGAGAAAAACAAAGGTCAAGTCAGAGTGAAAGGGAAAAAGCAAGAGGAAGAAGTGGGGCAACAGACTGATGTCAGAGTGAAGTCTAACAGAAAGACAGAGCATCGGGGTGAGAGGGCAGCTCTGTTTACTAACAGACAGTCAGCTTTTAAATGATGAAGATGGGAAACAAATGGAGTAACAAAAGGGAACAAAATGTGCTAGGCCCAGATATAGTGGCAGAAAGAAAGGACAGATGAAGGGGAAAGTGAGAGGAGACAAGAGATGCTGATGTTTGGTGGGGTTAATCATTGACCGTGTCGGGGGAAGAAGAGAGCCCTGTTGGAGTGACAGGTCTGCTGAGCTAAAACCCTCATCAGACTTTCCATCCTACCCTGCAGACGTCAAAGCATCAGCTCCAGAAGGGGAGAAGGAAGATGCTCGGTGAATGTTAACTGCTCAAAGCTTTCTTTGAAATGGCCATTGTATAACTGTGAGTTCAACTTCTTTCCCCAGAGTTAATAACTATGATAATCACAAGGGCAAGAGCAGTGTGAAAGTCCCACCTTTCTCTAAGGAGATTTAAATCTGGTGGCTTTATTGTAATCGCACTGAATATTACTTGTGTAAGCACACTGAAATAGCTTTGTTGTTGCTGCCCTGCAGCCAAATCAGCCCACTAAACTCTCCTCGCCTATATGAAATACACTTTATATAACATTAAACGGTACATCAAATGTTTCCACAAATGCAAACGTTTCCTGCTAAATATAAAAGGTTTTCTTGATAGAGTGAGCAGCCTTTGCTTGCAGACTGACACATGCTTGTGGCTAGAGTTGAATGCATAATCCTGTAATATCAGATCATGTTAGCTGGCCAAACAATGTCTCATCTTTTACTGTCCCTGTTTGTAACCCCAGAGACAAACACAAACATCACAGACATTCAATCAGATACAGAGAGACACATATTAGCATATTATGATCTGTGCTTTGACCTGCTGTTAAGTATTGCTGTGTCCAGCCATCACCCATTTTCTGTGGTGTGTCAGGGACCATTTACTCTAGTTGGCACATATCAGCGGCTGTTGAGCAGGCTCAATGCTGGATGTTAAATCTGCAATGCAGTCAGGCAGTGAGAGAACTGGCTGTCCAGGCTTATTCAATCATTGATTTCTCCCACTTAGTACAAATTCTCTTTATCTTTTGCCTCTTCCTTTTCTAACAGTCCAAATAAGCAAATATTTTTCGGTTGGAACGGTTTTATGAAACCTATTTTCAGATTGTCTTCTCAACATACAGTATAATGAGACAGATTAAAACCTCAGTCTAATACTGGAATAAAAATGGCTTATTTGTATGTGGGTTAGCATTACGTTCTTAGAACATAAAAAAAACTCTGACTAGTTATTTTTTATCATCAAGGCTCAAAATATATTTAGCTGTGGCCTCTGCAGAGTAGTACAACTTGATGATGCTAAGTAGGTGATCAGTTGATTTCTGTCAGTGAGGTTGGTTAGTGCTGATAGCCGGTTCTATGGTGGGCCCATTTCCAAGTTGGTAAGGTATCAAGCCTTACATTTGTAGTTTCTGTTTAGTTTGCACTCTTTGGCTTCTCTGACACTACAGACACCGATGACGTAATAACTCAGTCACTGTTGTAAACAAGTGTTATGTATATATTATGTATTACATATCAATAAATGGTTCTGGGTTCGGGCCCCACCTGGGACCTTTCTGTGTGGAGTTTGCATGTTCTCCCCGTGCTTGCGTGGGTTCTCTCCGGGTACTCCGGCTTCCTCCCACAGTCCAAAGACATGCAGCTTAGGTTGATTGGTGTCTCTAAATTGCCCGTAGGAGTGACTGTGCGTGTGAGTGGTTGTTAGTCTGCATGTTAGCAGACAAACAACCAACAACAACAAACAATCTTAGAGAGTGGGTACACTGTCCAGACCAATCTTCTGTTAGGACTAAAAAACGGTCCTTAAAAAGTCACAGAAACTGAGTGACTGAGACACATTTGTTTGCATTTGTATAAGAAGTGTAATGTCTACATGATTAGTAGCAAGTTATGCTTGAGAAACAGGATGATTATACCCAGAGCAACTCTGAAATGGCTGTGGCAGCAGAGAAGCATCAGCAAGTCAACGGGTCTAGTGGACCTCAAACACGTTAAAGCTATTAGTTGAAAAAAGTGTTTTAGAGTTGCTTTGATATGAAAGTAACTAACTTATGAGTTTAAATATAGAAACTGAACATCTGCTTGGCTTTACCATTCTGAA